GGATAGTGTCGCCTGGAGGCCCGTCAGCTGAGCGCGGCAGTGTGACTGCCCAGCAGTAATCAAAAACAGCTGCCGGCCGCAACTGAGTGAGGAACACCGCCGCAAACGCCGCCTCAGGGTCTGCAGGGTGGTCTAGGCTCTGCAGTGCGCGGCGCGCCATCAGCTGCGCTTGCTGCAGCATTGACGGCGCCACGCTGGCAGCCAGGTTGAGCCAGCCGGACGAGTCCAGCAACACCACACCAAACGCTTTCTTGAAGACCGACATGGCCGGGGGACCTTGGTGCTGGGCGCCGGGCTGCTGCTGCTGCTGCTGCTGCTGCTGCTGCTGCTGCTGCTGCTGCTGCTGCTGCGGCTGGCCGGCGCGCGCCAGCGCCAGGCCCCTGCTCCAGGCGGCCGCGTCGCCCAGGAGCGCGAGGCCCGCCCTGAACAGCTGAAACGACGTCATCACCGCCGCACTGGGGCCCGCACGCTCCGCGGCCACCAGCAGGATAGCCGCCAGCACGTGGCCGCTCAGGCCGCCCCCGTCGTGTGCTGCGCTGCTGTGATCGCCACCGACAGCGCTGCTGGCGCTGCCACAGGCCAGGCCTGCCTGCGCAGCCCAGGCTTTGAGCAGCAGCACCGCGTCCCTCAGGGGGGCACTGCCCTGCAGCCGCGTCGCCAGCGCCGCTGCCTGCTCCGTCGCAGTCATATCGGCCAGCACACCCGCGTTGTAGTGCGGTGTAGCCAGCCACTCCGCTGCAGCGCTTGAGGCTGATGGCTGTTCGCTTCTGCTGGGAATGGCTGGCTGCGGCTGCTGCGGCTGCTGCTCCTGCTCCTGCTGCTGCTGCTGCTGGTGCTCCTTGGCTTGCTTTTGCCTCTGCTGCTGCACCAGCGCTGCTTGCTGCTGCTTGACAGGAACGGCAGCCGCAGCTGCAGGTGCAGATGCAGATGCAGCAGCGCCGCGCGACACCCACCGCACGTTGTTCCGGTCCGGTGCCAGCTTGTGCGGCGGAAACAAGCCACACGGCACCACAGGCAGCAGCCGCAGCGTCAGCGCAGGAGCCGTCAGGCGCACCAGCAGAGCGGGGCGGGTGGGGTCGGCCGTGACAGGCTGCAGCTGCTGGTCCCGGTAGGCTGCATGCCTGGCCAGCTGTTTGGACAGGAACGCCAGGTACAGTGCGCGCTTGGCGTGGTACCTGAGGGGCAAAGACGGACCGTGATGGGGCAGGATTGGGTGCGTGCTCACGCAGCCGCTGGAGTTGGCGGTCAAAATAAAAGGCCGCACAGGCAGCTAAGCACCGAAGATGCGTCTCTCGGAAAGCACGCAAAGCATGCCGCTCTTACCAACCAGCACCGGCCTGCTCTTATCCACCTGTAGTTGATGTGATCCTTCTTGTGGAAGCATGACGCCGGCATCGTGACCGCAATGTCCGCCACGGCAGGCTGGGGCCCGGGGCAGCAGCCAAGCGGGAAGCTGCCGACCACCTCAACCGCAGAGGGCGGCTCGAAGGACAGGGAGACCTGTGATGTAGGGCGCAAAGTGGGCCGGCGCTCAAGAGCGGGAGGCTGCATTGAACTGCTGGGACTCGAGAGGTGCCAATGCAACGTACGTGTGTCATCCGCACAAGTCGCCAGGTTCCGATGACAGTACAGGAGCGTGGTGCAACCCGCCGCTATGCATGCAGTCAGTGCCACAACCCTGGAGGCCGTACCTCCCCTGGCGCGAGTCCCAGCTCTTGTATGAACCCTGGGAGCAGGGTACCTGGCACCTGGGAGTGCGGCGTGGCGCTATGGTGAGACCAACGCGAGGTCTACGCCACACGCAAAGGTGAAAGGCGCACCTGCGGCCACCAACATACTGCCCCTTGCCGATGAGGGCCGGCACTCATTGTCAACATCAACCCAGCCACTTCACTGCTTCTCGCCCGAACTGCGCACCTCACGGGGCTTGATGGCGGCCAGCACGCCACGCAGCTGCTGCAGGGCAGTGACCAGTGGCGAGCCTTTGAGCGCCCGTGGCCGCAATTCTGCCAAGAAATCGCTAACCTAGGAAGGGGTGTTGCAGGTGCCGGTTGAGTACAGGGCAGGTGGCTTCAACGCGGCAGTCCAGCAATCTCACCCCTGAATGTGCCAGTGGGCCTTCACAGTGACAACGCTGCCGAGTACCGACAACAGCATTCTAGGCGCCACTGGAGCTCCTCCGACCCCATGCCACCGCAAGTCATTAAGGACGGAGCCGTCCTACCTGCAGCTGCACCAGGGCTGCATCGCTGGTCAGCTGCCCCGCCAGCAGCGCCGCCTCAGCATCGCGGTCCACAGCCGCCGCCGCCAGCACAACGCTGGGTACCCCAGCAGCTCCCGCTGCATCAGATGACTGCCGTACGCCATTCCGGTTCCCGTTTTGTTGCTGTTGGCTCTCGCGCTTGCCACTACCGTGAGCTATAGCGGAGCTGGGCACGGCAGCAGGCTCTTGCTCGTCCTCATCAGAGGCCGACACATCGGACAAATCTTCAATTTCCATGACTTATTTTATCGTTGACTGACAGGGCCGATATGCCGCTAACGTATGATCTGCTGCACAGCCCCATGCAAATCACAAGCGCGATGCATAACTACAAGCGCGGTCAGGTAGTTTGAATGATTGAGGTGTGTTGACGGCGAACGCCGCGCAACTCGTCAACACATGGCTGCGGTACTGTAGTGGGCACAACGCGTCACTAGCTGGTGACACCAGCGCTTTGAGTCATTGAGGGGGAGCTTATGATATATTGGGAATGTGTCAGCTCGCATCACTTCACACTCAGGCGATTTGTGATGCAAGCATCGGTGGACAGGTTTATACGGGCAGGGATACCCCACTCGCTTTGTGCACTGCTTGTCGCACACTCTAATCCCCGGTGAGACGGTGACGGCCGACTACGACTCCAAGGTAATTGAGGTATACTTTGATTTCCTCTCATCACACATCCCGTCACTGTATGCAGGTTACGACGGAGTTGTTGTTTGTCAAAGCAACTGCCCGTGAGAAGTGCTCAAGTGCCCACGTGCATGGCACACTGAGGCTGCAACCAGAGAGCACGGTCACCAGCCCCCTCGGTTCCTGACACAGACTCCCCCTGTCGTGCCTTAAGCCCCTTATTCTGAGCACGTCCATCTGGCCCTACTCGTTCATTATACTGGCATTCAAGCATGATTGCATGCGGCACAAAACGTGAAAAACTGCCCAATCTAGCGTTACTGCGCCTTCTGCGCAAGATGGCTCCCTCCCACCAGCTGCAGGAAAACTGTTGGGGCGGTTAATCTCTTTACAAGTTGCACACAAACACGAAGGAGACCAGCGTGCAGCCTGCACCACAAGCTTGAGCATGGATGGCAACTTGAATCACCAGTACTTCTTTCTTGGGTTCCCCAATGGGTTGGGTCGATGGAGGTAGCTGTGAAAGGGTGGCAGGCGATGTAATGTTGGCAAAAAGTAAACCATAGTGCACCTCGATAAGATGCAGCGCTGCAACACAGGCCAGGCCGAGCCACGCACAAGTAAATCGTACGAGCATCATCAAAGCACACCGGCCGCACGCGACGTACCCTAGCTGCACTGTAGTTTGCAGACGAAGAAGAGGGCGGGACCAGGCGATAGGCGCCGGGGGGGGGTAGATTCATAATAGGGTGGTACGCAGCACCTTCAGCGCTCTCACTCAACACACCAGCAAAGCTAGCATGACCCAAATCGATTGTCGACGCCCTCAATCCAACCAACTGCCACGGCGCCCCCATCTTCCAGGAGATGCGCCGCTGCACTCAAAGCCCCAGCACACATGAGTGCCCAGCGACTCACTCCTCTTGCGGTAGCGTGTGAACTCATCGTCGCCCTCCTCCACAGCACCGCTCGGCGCCGCCCCCAGTCCCAGCCCGTCGGCCGTGCCCTGCGCCGCCACGGGCGCAGCAGCACCCTGGTTGCTGCCCCCCAGCCCCTGGCCCTCCTTCCACCCCATCTTCTGCATCAGCTTGTGTCCGATGTTGTCGGCCCCCAAAGTGTTGGGCTGCAGCGCCTTGGCCCGCGCTGCCGCAGCCTTGTCCCCGCTGGCCTCCATGAATTTGGCCAGCTCTTCAGGGGGGATCTTTGGGGGAGGTGCAAGGCATGGGTAGTTCAGAATATGTGATTGAGGGGAGAAATGGGGCTGGAGTGAAGTCGAGAAATGCAGGGCAGCAGGGCACCAGCACAGGGACACTGCTAGAGGTTGCAAATTTAACGCAAGCTTTCACGACCAACCACAGGCAGACGTGCGTGCGGAGTGACGGGCTCTCCACTACCACGCCGTGGAGACACCAAGCCAGCGACTCACGTAGTCGCTCATGTGGTGGCCGCGCGATCCATCGTGCTTGAACACTGCCACCACCTTGCGCCGGTCAAACGCTGTCTCCTTGAGCAGGGGCTCGGCGCGGCGGCGGCGCTCCTCATCGCTGTCTGCATCCCGCGCCGCCGCCTTGTCGCGCTCCTCCAACCGACGCATGTACTGCTCCATGGCAGACAAGGTGCTGCCGCCGCCACCAGACCCGGCACCGGAAACACCACCATGTTTGCTGCCACCCGCATGGCCCGCATTGTCACCCTTGCCATCACCAACGGCGCTGCCTGCCATGGCGCTGCCGCCTGGGACGCTGGAGCCAGCGGGCCCACCTGTCCCACTGACGGGGGCGCTGCCTGATGGCCGGCTGCTACCTGGCGGGGCATAGTAGCCCGGGGTGGTGGCGGCTGCAGCTGCTGGGGGTGTCTCTGACCAGCGGCTGCGCTTGCTGCCGGTCATGCCGCTGCTCCCCTGATGAGAGGGCCCTCCTGCGAGGAACAAGGCGCGGCGGCAGCGCGATGGGATTCAGGCATGCGCCGTCACAATCTGAAATCAATGACACCAGCAGTCTGATACGTTGCGCCAACGCAATTCTGCGGTTGAGCCTGAGCCCCACACACCAGCAGAGGGCTGCTGCAGGACAGCGGGGTGGTGCTGGCGGGCAAGACGGGCCTCATGCTGGGTCAGCTGCTGCGTGTAGAAGCGGTAGGCTGCGCTGGCTCTGTCCCACAGGAACCTGTGGATGGGGTTGGGAGCATAGGGGTGCATCCTATCGGCTGCGGGGTCGCCGAACGACTCCCGCACGGCCTGCAACCAAGGCACTCCTGTCTGCAGGCCCTCAGTCATCACAACAGCCGTGGGCAGCTGCAAGTCCCCCATTGTTAGCCATGCTTTCAACTCCACCCTCCCTCCAAGCCATGCCCGCCGGCCATGCAGCACATCACTACGTACCCAAGCGGGGAGGTCCTGTCGTTCCGCTCGCGCGTGAGGTCCTCGTACTTGCGCCCGTTTTGGGCGACGAATGCTGCCAGCTTGTCTGCGGCCTCCCTCACATCCGCAGGGACGCTCTCTGGTGGCGCGCGGGGCGCGGCCGCTGTGATGCCGTCCAGTTTTCAGGGGCACAGGGCGTGGGGGCTGGCAGGTATCGTCAGCGCCCAGCGATGGCCGAAATGGCGAGCAAGCGGGAGTGCAGGCGCTGACAAAGCCGCAGCCTGTTTCCAGAATTGCAGGATAAGCCTGCACTGCAAGCAGCTGGGCCAATGACCTGCAGCGGGGGACGGCGCGCCAGCAGCGACGAGCCTTCGCTGCGCCTGCGGCGGTGGCGCCTCGGTGTCGTTGTCACTGTCGTCACCAAAGACATCTACCACGCCAACTCTTTTGGCCGCCATTGCAGCTGCAAACCGCGCAATATGTGGGCTGTGTGGTACTAGGGGTCAAGTGGGAGGGTGAAGCCCCAACACGCTTGTTAGCACAGGCGGAGTAGTTGTACGAGTTTTGTACGAGTTTTGTGCAAGTCAGCGCGCATGCCTACAACACCACTCATCAGGCAGTGATCTCGCGCCGAGTCGTCCCTGCAGCGCACCTTCTCTCACACCTGTTGCGCCTCAACTTGTTGTTTGCGCCCGACCATCTTTCACCTCACCAACAGCACTTCTTGTTAGCTCACGTGGGATTGTGCCTCATCACGCAGGGCGGGCTGCCATTCACAACGAACGTCCAAAGCACGCTGACGCTCGCAGCAAGGCTGTATCCAACAGCTAAAGGCAACTCATGAACGCTATGCTTGACTACAGCTCACAGGCTGCCCGCTTCGGGCGCTGCCGGGCGCGTGGCGACTGTGCCCGCTTCGCTCGCCACACAACGCCGACTCTCATCCGCCCCAAGCTCATCCTGAGGGGCGTGGCAGGCACGCAAAACACCGTGCGGTGTGGCGCGTTGCCGACCTTCAACGAGGGTGCGCCGGTTTGACTCGCTGCGTAGTACCAGCTACTACACGGGAGGCATGCGCTGGCCCGAACCATCGTGCGCACCCTCATCAGCGTCCGCCTCCACACTCATCTCACTTTGACAGCTCAAGCCCACCTGGAGGATCTTGGCCGCCGCGCCGCGTCTGTGGCGGCCGCGACGCTGTGCAGCGCAGCGCTGCTGCTGGCGCCGCCCGCCCTGTCGGAGGAGGGCGGGACCACTGTGATCCGGCTGCCAGCCTCCGACAACCCGGCAATCTTTACAGCGCAGCAGGTGAAAGGCAATGCCTAAGGCTGCAAATGGCATTTGTGCTGGCGGGTGTCGGCTCCGTGGGCTGTAATGGAACATTGTATTGTGTTGGCTCATGTAATAGGGTTGTTGGCACGTTCGATGGTGGCTTATGTCACTCCTTAACGCTGCTGATGCCATCCGCTCACTGTTGCCCCATCTCCCCCCTGCCTGGATGTCTGCTGGATGCACAGACCATGGTGCAGGCATGGCAGGTGAGCCTCCAGCTGGGAATTGTGATGTTTTGGAGTGTTCTTGCCAATGCCGACGGTCGCCCTGAGCATGCCGGCGTGTTGCTATGGTGGTCACGCAGTCACTGCTGAAGATGACGTCCTTCGCCGCGCTGGTGCATAGACCGCTTTCATCCACATGCTCTCTTTTGCACGCAGATCGTGGGAGAGTCGTTCGTTGACGCGAACTTTGGTGGCCACAACTGGGTAAGCACGTGCGCATGTCCATCTCGTAGTGCGGCCGCACAGCAGCGGTCCTGGATCGTGGCGCTGAGATACTAGTCCCAGGAGCCTTTCATCATCCGGGACAGTGCCAGTGCTTGGGCCCCGTGTGCCTGGGCCTCGTGAGCTTAGGCTGCCAACAGCTCTGTATACAACCCCTTGTCAACACCCGCCCTTCGTTCTTTACACCCCTCACACACACCCTTAGACCGATGAGCTGCGCACCCACATGCTGGCGGCCTACCAGAGCCCGGATGCCCCTGCGGCCTACCACGAGATCGCCACCATGCTATCTGACCTGGGGGATCCCTACACGCGCCTCCTCCCGCCGGATGAGTACCAGGAGTTTGTGGTGTCGAGCAATGGGGAGCTGCAGGGCGTGGGCATGCTCATCGCCAACGAGCCCGTGGAGGGTCACCTGGTGGGCGTAGGAGAGGGGTTGCCATCGGGAGGGGGTGGGGCGATTCTGGCGGGGCATTGGTCTTTGGTCGTTCACCAGCCTTGGGCTGATGTTCAGTAGCCTGCATGCTTGCGGCCTGTTACTGCATGCGCCGCTCTTTCCACCCACAACCCTGCCTGCACTGCACTCCCCCCCCCCCAGCTGGTGCTGGCGCCCATCAAGGGCTCCCCTGCAGACCGCGCGGGCATCAAGCCAGGCGACATTGTGATGGCCATCAACGGCCAGGACACCAGCGGCTGGACGGGGGAGCAGGCTGCGCGCCACCTCAGGGGCATGGGCGGGACACAGGTGGGTTTCAGTCGCGCACTTTTCGCCGAGCCCTGCTCAGAAGTCGTTCAGAAGTGCTGGGCCGGAAAACGGCAGGTGTGCTGGGCCGGCAAGGCAGTGTGAGGGTGTTGCAGTATTGTCATGCCGCAGCCTCTGCAGTTTCATCCGGACTCTGCCTCTCTGCTTCCCTGGAAAAATAAAATGCCTTCCCTTCAGGTGCGAGTGCGCCTGGTCCGCCACACCAACGAGATCCCTGGCGTGGCGGGCCGTCCCCCGCGCCCCGTGGAGCCTGCCACGCGCGAGGTGGAGGTCAGCATGACGCGTGAGACGGTCACGCTGTCACCGCTGTTCTACGCAGCACTGCCAGACCCCAGTGGCGGCCGCGTGGGCTACCTGAAGCTGGCAGCCTTCAGCCAGAACGCGGGCGCGGCTGTGCGCGATGCCATACGGGACCTCAAGGTGCGACACCGACGTACCATCAGGGGTCGGGGCGATTCCGGCGCTCTGTGTGCGCGAAGGGGGGGGTGGGGTGCCGCCGCTGCGGTTGCTGTGTGATGGCATTCAGCAGACACTTGCTTCGTGCCACTGCTGAACATGGTTCACCACTCCATTTTTTTGTCCAATCGACCAGCTCTCATAGATTGCCTCGCACCCAAAACCACCAACTCCAGGCCACGGGCGTTGACGGCTACGTGCTCGATCTGCGCAGCAACCCTGGCGGCTTGGTGCAGAGCGCTGCTGATGTGGCGCGCGTGTTCATGGACGGGCACCCCACCCTGTTTACGGTCAGCGGCCGCAGCGGTGAGCAGCTGCAGGAGGTGGTGCTGGAGGACGGCTCCAGTGAGACGACCGCGCCCCTCACCGTGCTGGTGGACCACGGCAGCGCCAGCGCGAGTGAGATCCTGAGCGGCGCCCTGCGCGACAACCACCGCGCCCTCGTCATCGGCGACGAGAAGACATACGGCAAGGGCCGCATCCAGAGCGTCTACGAAATGGTGGGGGCCCTGCAAGGGTTGTCAGATGGTCCACAGCTGACATGGTGTGGATGCGCGCGAGCAGGGCCAGAACGGCAACGCACACCTGGAGGTGCACGGCCCTCCCTGGCCCGGTGCCATCTGGCACCCATGACCTGGTATTGACCATCCATCATGGCCACCACCCAATTCACCGCCCCAGGACGACGGCTCTGCCCTGTTTGTGACGGTGGCGCGCTACCGCACCCCCGGCGGCACGGACATCGACCTTCGCGGCATCCATCCCGACATGGCCTGCACCCCGCCCCTCATTGGTGCCGCGTCGCGCCGCAACCTTGACCCGCGCGCCCTGCCCGCGTCTGGCCCCATAGCGGGCGTGGACCTGGCTGACCTGGGGGTGGCCGCCCGGCAGGGCGCGGTCACCAGCGTCGTGCAGGGCCCCGAGGTGGACCGCTGCCTGCTGACGGCCATGAGCATGCTGGCTGACAAGTCTGCTCTCATCGATGCAACAGCCGGCACCACCGTCGCCGCCGCGCCCTGAGCGCCTGCGGCCTGCAAGGAGACTTGGCACACCAGCACCTTGCCTGCCTTGCAAGCCCATGGATGCAAAGCGATTGCCAAAATACAAAGGGCAATGCAGCGACCAATGCGACCACCTGCGCCAGCCAACCGCGCTGGTTGCATGGGGTTGTGGCAGCTGCCCTGGCACCACCGTGCCCTGCATGTACCACCAACCACATCTCCCCTTGTTGTACAACAGCCCCCAACAGCTCTTCTTGCGGCGGTGTGCTGCCTCACGTGTTGATGGACACGCTGCTGCCGGGTGGCAGCTTGCGTGCCTGTTGCTGGCCGTTCGTCCTCTTTTAAGCCCCCTTATGTTCCCCTGCACGGCTGCGGGCGGCGCCGTCTGACGGTGTGCTTGGCTGCGGTTGCCCTCGCGCTGCATGTCCACGCATACCGGACATGTTCCCGCCCATCTTTGGCCGTTGCCGTTTCGCTTTGACTTGCATGCCTGCTGCTGCCGTATGGCACGCGCAAGACCTGCCGTTCTGTTAGGCTTGCACGGCATGCGCGCGCTGTGTACGGGGCTCAGCGGCATGTGCAACCCCAATGTTCTTTGGTTGCGTGTCGGGGGTGAAGGGTGCTCCCCTCCATCTGTTGCTGTCATGGAAAGGTGGTGATTGGCGGCGACAGGCACCGGGCTGTTTGCCTGCCTTTGCCTGCTTGCCTGCTCAAGGTGAAGAAGTGAATCGTCCATGCGAACAACAACCCCCGAAAGACAAAATACGAGGCTGAAATCAGGCCTGCCAGCTTCCATTTTTGGCTGGTTGGCTGTTCGTCTTGCGGGGTGTGGCTCAGGGCAGAAGGTGGTCCCGGGCTCTGAGAAGAGCCTTCGACGGTGGATGTACAACACAGATTTGCTGTGCGCCGCTGCGCCATACCCACGCACCGCTACCATGTATTGTGGTGGCGTTGGGGGATCGCACACCGTTTGCAGTGTTTGGAATGTAAGCCCGCGCTCGACACCATCGGCACGTGGAGCCGCGCATGCAGCCAGCATGCACACATACACTGTAATCACATGCTGGCCAATTCGGGAACGCAAGCTGTGTCTACCGCTGCTTACAACCACTTTGCAGGTGGACGTCCCCCGTGAAAGCTCTTGCCTGCCAGCATGCAGTCAAAAGCACTGCCCTGGTGATGCAGGCAACATTGCGAGGGACTCAGCATTCTCGCGCGGGCGCCTACTGGGCAGCTGCACTACTGGCAGTGACTCCCAGCTATGAATCAACGTATAGGTCTCAGTCCGAGTAGCCTGAGAGACTCACCCCTCAGCCTGACCAGTAGTGTCCCACGACAAAGCCGTGCACAGCTCGAGCTGCATGGTGATGCACAGCCTGGAGAAGCACACAATCTCACCAAGAAACCTCTGCAGCAATAAGCATTTCATAGTATAAAACGTCAAATCAATTCTCCTTGCAGTACATAAGCGAACGTGGCGGGAACGATGGGATTTCCTCGTGCACACCGGAAACTAATCTCGTGCCTCATGTATGGCGCGAGCGGGGCTGTGGGTTGGGTGTTAGCCAAGATTCAAACGTCTTGGTTGGCTAGGCGGCAACAAAATCGGACCCTGGGTAAGTTTGGCGCATGCAACACACTGGCGGCACACAGACATGATCCAGCAGCATCGATGGCGCTGCCTGGCGCGTAGAATTGCATGCGGACCCATCAAGCACAACAAGTATGCAAGGATGACCTCCTGGAAATTTGTCCTGCTTTCAAGATCCAGCCACGCATCACGCTGCACCGCAACAGCAGCAGCAGGCGCTGCTGGCAGATTGATGGTGATCAACAGGCCGCTTGTGTCTCTGGATCTTGAGACCACGGGTTTACGAGTGACGGGCGACCGCATTATTGGTGGGGCAGTGGGCATTGGCCAACACTGTTGGGTGGGGGCAGTGCGTGGGCTGTGGACAGCAAGCTATGCTGCCTACAAGTCGACTGCAAGCAAGGCAACACGCAGAGTGGTGACATGTGCAACTCTAGCAGCGTGTACATGTCAAAGTGCTTGGTTGGCAATGGCAACTGTGATGGATCAGTACCTTCAAAAAGATTGTGTGCCCAGCACGCAAGGCTGCAGGCTTGATTTAAGCTCACCTGTCTCTGACACGCATCTCGTACTGCAGAGATTGCTGCGATCAAGGTGATGCCCGGCGGCAAGGTAGGGTGTGAGCGCAGGGCGCCATCACGCGTTTGCTTGCGCAAATCTGCAGGGATATTCCGTTCTGTTGAACAGACAGTACTGGATGTCCGCACAGGTCTTGCGCGTGAGCAGCTGCCGCTACTTTTGCACAGCAGGGGTCAAAGCAAGCAATTGAACGAAGCTGCAACCTGCGCATTTCGCAGAGCCGCCGACGGCGACGCCTTGTGTACGTACTCAAGCCCGACCACCTCTCCATTGCTTTACGCTGCGTCAGCAGGTCATCACCAAAGGCCCGCAGCGGGTCGACCCGGGGATGCCGATATCGGAGGAGTCTGCCACCATCACTGGAATCAGTGATGCCGATGTGGCTGGCGTGGCACCACGTTGGGCAGACCTGGCGGCGGAGGTGACATCAACTGCGGCTGCTGGGCCATGCTTTCCCGTATATTTGCTTGTGCCGAGCGCTTCTAAGCAGCAGCACGATGGCAAAAACGGCACGAGACACAAGCACCAGAGAGGGCATGCACGTGCAGCTCAGGCACAAAATTGATAGTGTTGCATGTATGAGAGCCTCAGGGCCTAACCCCATATGTGCCGCATCAGGGTTTTCAGTGTCACCCTGGCTAGGCTCACGTCAACTCTCAATGCTGCCCTGCCTGAACATCAGTGGCATGACTTCTTGGAAGACTGTGTGATTCACGGCTACAACACCAAGCGCTTCGACGTGCCCCTGCTGCGGTGCGCTGGGGGCATTCACTTCGCACGTGCAGTATCATTTTAATAATGACAAGTAGAGTGAATGCTCCAGGTAGCCGGCGCTCTGTCCCCCAAAGGCACTTGTCGCACTCTGTGACCCTTCTGCTTCTCACGGCAGCCAACGTCGGTGATGCTTGCAGATTTTCCCTGTGGCCGCGCAAGCGCCTGGCCCTGCTGGTTCCACTCATCCCTGCCGAAAGTGGATTTATGTTTCCACCAATTTCCAGGGCCGAGTTTGATCGAGTGGGGTTTCCCGACTTCCCCCCCATCGGCTGCCCCGTGGTTGACTCATGTCGCATCTTTTTTGCCAAGGAGCAGCGCACGCTGGAAGCGGCAGTGGGGTACTACTGTGGCAGGCAGCTGGAAAGTGCGCACTGCAGCCATGCAGTGCAAGCCAGCGGCTGTGCAGGCTGCCAGTGCGATCGCCTGGGTTTTGCAGAGCACAGAAAAATTATCCATAATGCATGCAGAGCGTTGGTGTCAGTCTCGAATGAACGCAGACTCGCTGAACGTGCTGGCCATGAACTTGTGGCTTATGCACGCAGCCTGCGCCCCTGCGCGCCCCTTACGCCCCCTCCCCTCAAACGTTGCTTGCCGCCAGCGCAGACGCCCATACGGCACTGGCGGACAGCCAGGCTGCGCTGGATGTGTTGCGCGCGCAGGTGGAGCGTTACGACGACCTGCCGAGCACCCCCGAGGGGCTAGCAGGCTGGTGCAGCCGGCCTGTCAAGGAGGGGGATGCCACCTGGGATGGACGCTTCAGGTGGGTCAGGTTGCAGGAAGTCTCGTGGAGAGCCGCGTGCATGCGCGGGCTAGAATGGCCCCAAGTCGTATCTGCCCACCACCGTCATATCCAACACATGTGTACAGCCCTGGTTCATACGCAAAACTGCCTGCCGTCCAACAAAGGCCCTGTGTGAATGCACAGTCCCTGACTTGTTGGATGCTCATGATGATACGTATACCAGGTGGTCTGGCGATAACCTGGTGTTTGGGTGAGTGTGTGTGCAAGGCAGGGGCTGTGGACGGCGAGCGGTCGGCGGCAAGCGGAGGGCGGCGAGCGGTGGGCAGCGGGCTCCGCGGGACCTGATGGCTGTGTGGGCCTCTTGGCGCCACCTGCATCAGTCCGTAGACTTCTGATCTGAGCTGGTGTGCTTGAGAATTTGAGCTGCTACTTCCTCACGAAGAATGTTGACTGCACCTGAACTACCCGTATATACACTTGAATGTGCCAACAGGTTCGGCAAGCTGCAGGTGAGCAAGCCGTTCCACATTCTTGCACCAGCATCGCGTGCCAGCATCCACTTAGACAGCTGCTGGGTCAGATAACCCCAGCATGCATGTGCTCGTCGATACTCGGCCGGACAGTGCCACATCTGCAACATGCAGGCATACACTCCATCCTTCCCATCCGTACATCATTTTACCAAAGGGGCAGCCCCTGGCAGCTGCGGCTGTTGAGGAGCGCGATTACCTCCTGGTGTGACGCCTGGGGGAGGGGAGTGGGATGCAGCAACATGTGTTGCATGCCTTTGGCAGATGCCGCAAGGCATGCGCCTGGTTGGTGGTGGCCGATATATACGACAAGGGTGGGGCCACCGACGCTCGCACACGCCCGCGGTCAGCAAGTAACGCGGGGCATGTGTTGGCCCTGCCCCCCCCCCTTCCTGCTTCCCTAAAACAGTGGATGAGGACTCAGGACTTTCCTGATGAGGTGGGACCTGCGATTACGCCCCACCAGGACGCTTGGGCACGCGTGAAGCTGCTGCCGCGCAGAGACAGGAGCCGTGCATTGCTGCTGACAACCACAACTTCATCTGTTGTGCTCACCCCACTTGGAATTTCACGCACCCCCACAAACTGATTCCTGCCTCATTTGCTACTCTCCTTATACCTGGTGGCAAGCAGTCCCTGATGCTCGTCAACGATGCGCTAGCTGGTTTTACACACACACGAGAGTCGCTGGCAGCACGCCTGGGGATGTGACGCAGTGACAGTGCTGGCACCGGTGCCAGGGTACCCCGGGAAGTTTTGTGCGTGCATGCGCAGCATTCAAACTTTTGTGATTGCTGGCAGAGGAACTTACTGTATTTTGTGGAATTTGTATTCATGTAACAGTGCCTCCTGAGTGAGCGAGCACAGGCACACCCCGCAGGCAAGCACTGGAAGTTATCAGCGCGTCACCGGGGTGCTGGAGCACTCAATGAGCCAGGCCAAATCTCTCGGCCGCATCAGGCAGCATCCCCCGGCCAGCCAGCCAGCCTGCCGGCCTGCTTGCCGGCCTGCCTGTTTATCTGCTGGTCGCCTGTCGGACAAGCTGCCCCGTCGTCTCCCCCGCTCACCCGAAGCAGCACCCAGAGATACTATCACCACGGCATCACCGTAACGTGCCGCACAGCCAGCTCCCGTATGACATCGGGCGGCACCAGGTGCTGCTTGGCCAGGCATCTGCTGGTCGAACGCTTCTCATCAGTCAGCTGCGGGCCAGCGGTGCGGTTTGCGATACATACCTATCCGGTAACCTGTAAAGGGTTGCAACAGTCATTTTGTCGTCAATGTCACAGGGTATCATAACCCTGAAGCTCCATGCAAGCCCTTCGCCCCAGTTCAGGCGATTTGCCAGACGCAGGTGATGGTGAAGCTGCTGCACATTCAAACTCAAACACCTTCATCGCAACGGCTGCACACCACCACGCGAGGATTTGCAATCCTAACAGTTTTTGAAGGCTCCCGACGCGCCTGTCAATCACAAACAACGCGCCAGGAGATCATGGCGAACAATCAGCTCTTCGAGCAGCTCCTGGGCCCCATCTCGCCCATCGCCAAGGACGCGAGGGACGATGATAGCGTGTCTCTGAGGCATCTGCAGCAGGAGAACACGGGCTACACCGCACAGTCGCGGCCGCGCGCAGCGTTTGGCGCGGTCCTGGGCGACAGGGTGCGCAAGCCGCCACATCCCCCGCACTTGTGCTGCCACGGCGCGGGCTCTGCCAGCTGCTGGCACGCCCATGCACACGGCGTGTTCCCACGCGCTCACCAACTCCCTGCTGCTCTGCCGCTGCTGATGCACAGGCCAACCTGCAGAGCAACTTCGAGTTTGGGCGCCCTGCGGCCAAGGGTGGCGCGCTCGGCGGCGACTTCAAGCCTTTTGCGGCGCTATCTTCTCAACAGTACACAGCCCAAACCCCATCCGCCGCCCCAACGCCCGCGAGTGTGACGGCCTGCACGGATGTTGGCGGCGGCGCCACCCCCATGTCGGCCACGCCCTCCAGTGTCGGAGCCGCCTCAGCGGCTGCCACGCCCCTGCCTGCGTCGACGCCTGCTCCCAGCCTGTCGGGGGCTCCCGTCACAGCTGCGCCGCGCACCTCCTGGGGCGATGTCCTGCTGTGGCGCGACCCCTTGAGCAGCGCCTTCCTCTTCGCGCTGGGCCTGGGCGTATACTTCACTGCGGCGTGGGCGATGCGCGGCGGTGCGCCGGTGACGCCCACCTCTGCTGTGGCGTACCTGCTGCTGGCGCACCTGGGCATCAACTTCCTCCGCTTCTTCTGCTCCGCACGCTGGCATGCGGCGTGCCTGTGGGAGGGGTCGGCTTCGGCCGACGCTGCGGCGGAGGCTGCGGTCCGCATGGTCAGGCGCGCGTCTGCGCTGCATGACGCCTACCTGTCCTCCAAAGACCCCCATGTCACGCTCGCGGTGCGCTGAAAAAGGGGGGTTGCTTCTCCGGCGTGCCCATTATGTTGCCATCGCTGGCGGCCCGGTTGGCTGCATGCGGCCCGGTTGGCTGCAGGAACGTTGGGCTGACATGTTCCTGCCTGATATCCTTCCCATGTGCTGCACACGGCCCTCCATTGCAGGTTGTGCTGAGCCTCTGGACGCTCGCATGGCTGGGTTCCGCTCTCAGGTCTGGAAGCAACGGCGTTGATCTGGTGGTGGCTCATGGCAGCTGGGAGGACTGTGTCTGTCCTGTGTGCTGTTGCGCGCACTTCATTCCTCCAGCATTGTGACGCCCCCCGTGACCCTCTATGCCACGCCGCTGCAGCGCCAACCAGCTGCTACTGCTGGGCTACCTGGGCGCCTTCTTTGTGCCGGCCCTGTACGTCGCCAACCGTACCACCATCGATGCGGGCCTGTCAGCCCTGCACCACGCCACGCTGGGCCGGATCGACGCCATGGAGATGCCGCGCACGACGCGCCTGCTGGTGCTGCTGGCGGGACTGCTGACGCTGCTCGTCTGCACCACCTGGGTAGGTGTCCTGCGCGGCCGATCATACTGCTCGAGCTGCATTTCACTCAATTTCTGTGCTCATGCCTGCCCATCACGGCTTCCTGCAATGCTGCACTCCTGCACTTCTGCACTCCTGCACTCCTGCACACCTGGACCTGGGGTTGGCCCACAGGCACTGCTGCCCACGCTCACATCCTACTGGTACCCCGCAGGCCCAGTTTGCAATCGGCGCGCTGGCGGCTGCGACTTACTGGCGCACCACCCTGGCCCCTGCCGAAATTGAGGCCATTCGCACCGTCGCCGAGCCCCTGACCCATGACGTCACAGCGAGCGTCCGCAAAGTGCGCGCCCGCCTGTCCGTGGTGCTGGACGACGCCCGCGCCATGTGCAGCACCGCAGGCCCCGCCAGCCGCACTGCACCGCGCACACGCAAGGCGCATGCGGGCTGATTGGGGCCACGCAGCGGTCTGTTCTTTGGGGAGCGGCGCAGCAAGAAGCAGGAGCCCTGGGGACCGTGCAGTGGAGGTGCCGGCACTCAGCAGTGCACGGCGGGGCCAATCCGCTGCAAGGCAAGCACCTTCTACGCTGAGGTCGTGCGTTTGCCAAAGGACTCAGGCTTTGGTGCATATAGAATCTTGACCGCGCATTTGGCACAGGCCTGCCTGCAAAACTCTTGGCCTTGTGCACTCGTTAGTCGTACATTCAGCCTTACTAGGTTGTCTGTGTCAGGCTTGTAGGACGGCCTGGACTGCCAGCCGGACCTGGGGATTAGCGCCAGTTTGGCTGCTGGCACCAGTTGTCGTGTTTAGGTTAGTATATGCAGCTTGTACAATGCCGTGCATTCCTGTCCGTTGTAAGAAGGAAGGATCAGTCGAGGGTTGGGACCAGACAAGGTGGTCCAATCTCTGGTCATGTGCGCGTCAGCAAGTTTGCAACCAGCCATGTGCCTGTCGCCATGCCATGAGACTGATAGATGTTTGTTATCATTGCCGTTCAGGTACTGTAGCCCATTGCTGAATGGCCGCTGCGCTGTGCTGAAAGCGGCCGCAAGCGTCCCGCGGTGGTCGGGCGCAGGTCATCACTTACTGCAAACGAATATGCAAAAGAACGCAACTCGTGTTGGTTCCACAGCTTTATAGAGGCCGCTTCGTCCGCGATCGCTCTCCAGCTTTCGCTCCGTCGCCTGCCATACTGCTCAGACTGCCCCTGTTGAGGCCGGTGGCCGCGCCCCCCCTGATCTTTTTGACGGTCACAGCGGTCTTGTAACGCGCCATCACGTCCGTCGAGAAGACCTTGCCCAAGGTGATGATCTTCCCGCTCACCCAGGCGTTGCCATCCCTCCGGGACGGGAGCACGCGTGGCTTCACCCCATGAAAGCGAACGCAAATTGCTGGGATTGTGATTTTCTCTGCGACAAAGCAGCCGGTAGACCATGCGCTTGCCAAGTGGTGCTCGCCGCGCTCCGCCGGCGTACAACTGCACTCCAGCAGCACATACACGACACACATCGCAGCCATGGCATCCCAGCACCTGCGATCTCCGGCAACGCAACCCCTGCAGGCAACCATGGCGCAGAAGTCCCTTGACGCCGTAAAGGACGCGATTGATGGCCTGGTGGAGAAGGCCGCAGCCGCCGACAAGCGCGTGGTCGCAGCTGCGGGCGCCGCCGTCGCCGTCGGCGCTGGCGTGCTGCTGTACCGCCGCTACCAGCGCACTGCCGGCCCCAAGAAGGGCCCCTTGACGCCCGACACGCTCCCGGCTGGCGCGTACGACGCCGTGATTGTGGGCGCGGGCCCCAGCGGCTCTGTGTGCGCCAACTTTGCCGTGCAGGGCGGCGCCAAGGTCGCGCTGCTGGACAAGGCCACCTTTCCCCGTGGTGGGTGGAGCGGCCTCGCGGGGGCGCATGCACATGGGCAACAGAGGCAATGATCTGCCGCTCTGTGGCAAGCGCAGGGTGGCGTTTGGCGGCAGCGGGAGAGCACGGGGCCGTCAGTGGAAATGCTGCCAGCTGCTGCTCTGTGAAAGATCAACAGTTGGCGACTCCCATATCTCTTCCACATGAACCACAGACAAGTACTGCGGCGATGCGGTGTGCACCCCTGCCATTCGGTGAGAGCCGGGGTTGCGCGGGGCCTGGGCCCTGCATCATGGCGAGGCTGGCAGGGGAATTATTGCAGGTCTAGGCAGCGCTCTTCGCTGGCCCCTCACCTGGACCCTCGCGTCCGCCACCAAGCCCAGCTGCACCCCCACCCTCCTTGACGTCACGCAGCATCCTGGAGGAGCTGGGTGTCATGCAGGAGCTCAAGGACAACAACGAGGCCCACTTTGCCGACTCTGGCGGCTTTGTGTCACCCAAGGGCATCTCATACGTGGGCGCCTCCAAGGAGAAGCTGGGGGAGGCCGCGTGCTGCGCGGTCAAGGTGAGGGCGGCGGAGACTGCGAGGCTGACAGGGGGGCGCGATGATGGCGAGGTTGCCACAACCTGACCGACAATGGCCGCGGCTGCATCGGTGCCGCTATGAAGGAGCGACGGCCAGCATCAACACCCAGGCGGTGCGGGCCCACCAAGTGCTGCCAGGGGCCTCAGCGCACCAGCTGCACACTCGGCAGCACTCCCCGCAGCCTAGTCCTCCAGCCCTCACCGGCCCGCTT